TACCCAAGAGAAATGAAAACACAGACCCAAAGACTTACACAGGAATGTTTTTACCTGTATTATAATAGCCAAAAACATGATCATGGTTATCTGTGGCTGAAGGTACAAGTGAATTTGAATGCAAATTGTATGGATGCAAGTCTCCTAAAACTGATGAGGGTTATATAGTTGAAGTAACTTAGTAAAACTCACTGACCTGAGTATTTATAATGAGTGACATTAACTGCATGAAAATTATATAGTAGGAAAACTGTGTCCATAACCCTGGCAAATTTTTTAAAATATTCTGATATTCTATCCTAGGATTTGAGAGCAGGTTTCTGTATACATGTGAAAACTTTCTCTAATATAAATTCTCCTCTTTAGGAAAAATAAAAACCAGGTTACATAAATGGCCAGAATCCAAATGACTATATACGTTAACTTTAAAAGCATAGTGCACCCAATATAGCACTATTTTATTTGTCTCTCTAAGTGAGATAAATAATTGAACTAAGAGTAGTTAAACCTATTTTCTATAATACCTATGCCTTAGGAGGAAACTAGCATCTAACTGCAGCACCTTTTGAAAAGGAATGAACTGGTAAGAAATAAGTCAACTCCACTGAACAGAACTGGAGTGGTAGAGGACTGTACTGTATTTGGGGCTGGAAAATAGATCAAGACATCTGCAAAGAGTTGATGCCATAAGATGACACTGCAAAATCCAAAATCACTCCTCTCTTTCTGAGAAAATTTCATAGGCTAAGAAAGTGTGGACAGAACTAATAAATAGGTGACTAGATAAGTGTTGACTGTACCAAAAACATGAAATAAAATTCTAGGGTTTGGTGTTGTAGCTCAGTGGTAGAGTGCTTGCCTAGCATGTGTGAGTCACTGGGTTAGATTCTCAGCATTTTGCATATAAATAATAGAATAAAGGTCTATCAACAACTAAAAAAAAATACTTAAACATTTCTTTTAAATTTTATGGCGCATGAAATATATCACTGTGCCAAAGTAAAGGGAATGATAGGATGATTGGTGTCATTTTATGTGTTTCTTTTTCTACGGTCTTTACTTTAATTGCCTCCTGTTAATAGTACCTAATTCAGCTGCCAGCAGAAAAGGTAATAGAAAAATAAAATATTATAGATTATTAAAAGTCAAACCAAAAAAGTCAAGTCTGCAACAGACTACAAAATATCATTCATGTTGAAGAATACAATCTACTTTTTTAGCTTGGCCCAGTTCTTCCAACTTTAATACACAAATATCACTTGGTGATGACATTAAAAATGCAGATTATAATTAAAATATTATATTAAATACTATATTATACAATATTAATATTTTTATCACTTTTAGATTATAATTTGCATTTTTCATGTATATGATATATGTATATTAAAGTTAGAGAGGAACTGGGCCAAGCTAAAAAAAGTAGATTGTGTTTTTAGAAGAATAGCATTACCTTAGATTATTAGAGGGAAGTGAAAGGAGGGGAAGGCAGAGGATGTGGGGATAAGAAAGATAGTAGAATGAAACAGACATTGTTTATGTGTGTGTGTGACTGTATGACCAATGTGATTCTAAAATATGTATACCCAGAAAAATGAGAAATTATATCCCATGTATGTATGATATATCAAAGTATATAAGTGCATTCTACTGTTATAACTAATTAAAACAAATAAAAAATTTAAAAAAAGAAAGAAAAGAAAATACTAGCAAAAAATTAAAAATTTTATTTTATTTTCCTATATTTTGTCCAATAGAAAGACTCTCATAAGTTTATTTAACCAAAGAATGTAAAAGAATTTTACATATAAAATAATATATAAAAACTAGAAACTTTAAAAAAAATGCAGATTATGATTCAGTGATTATAGATAGGGTGAGGCCAGAGATTATCCAGTAAGTTCCCAGGTGAGAATCAGTGTGTCTGGTATAAGAACAATACTTTCAGTAGAGAACTCCAGGATAATTTTATTAATATTTTTAACTTTTTATTTTAAAATTTGCAGACAGGAAAGATTTAAAAGGAAAAATTTTTCAGCAAGCTTACCATGGAGGCATAATTCAACATTTTGCAACATTTTTAAGAAGAAAAAATTGGAAATAATCCAAATACTATCAGGAGATAAATAAAACCATTGTCGTCTATCCATATATAATACAGTACAGTTTTAATTAGATGTATAAGTGTGCTTTTGTCCTGTATATCCTTATGAATAACTCTAAAAACAATAAGTGTTTCCTTATATCCTTACTAATTCTAGGCTATAATTTAAAATTTTTATCAGTCAAGCATATCTGAAATGATATTTAGTTATTTTCATAAGCATTCCTCAATGAATTATATCTTTATGCCCTTACATATTCCTTTTTAAAAATTTGTTATTTTTTTCAATATACACATAGAATGGATTTGGACATATCATACATGTATGGAGTATGACATTCCAATTAGAGTCTCATTTTGTGATTTAACATGATATGGAGTAACATTGGTTGTGTATTCGTATATGAACATAGGAAAGTTATGTCTGATTCATTGTTCTGTGTTTCCTATTCCCATCTCCCCTTCCTTTTTATTCCCTTTTTGTAATCCAGTCTAATCCCCCAACCTTTATTCTATGTTTGCATTCACATATCAGAGAGAACATATGCCTTTTGGTTTTTGGGGATTAGCATATTTCACTTACTGTGATAGTCTCCATTTCATCCATTTATTGGGAAATGCCACAATTTCAAGAATAATGGTCTTTAAGTACACCCATGTATTTATTTTTTTCTTTATTTCCTTTGTCACAGTAGTGGGGATTGAACCCAGAGGTGCTCTACCTTTGAGCTACAACCCTACTATTATTTTTCATTTGAGAGGGGGCCTTAAGTAAGTTGCAGAGTCTGGCCTGGAACTTGGAATCTTCCTACCTTAGCCTCCTGAGTACCTGGGATTTTAGGTATACACCATTGTTTCTGACCATACAGTCTTAGTCTTAATTCCTTGATTCTTTGGTTGTGTTTTCTTTCAGCCTGAAGTATTTTTAAGAAAAATTTTCGTAGATCTGTTTGTTAACACTGAATTTCCTCAGTTTTTATTTGAATCTTCTTTATTTTGCTTTTTGTTTTTAAAGGATTGTCACTGGATATAGAATTCTTGGTGTTCTTTTTTTTTTTTTTCTTTCAACACTCAGGACAAATCATTCTCTTAATGCTATTTCATTCTACTTTATTGGTTTGTTGGTTGGTTGATTTTGGTACCAAGGATTGAACACAGGGGTACTTTATCACTGAGCCATATCCCCAGCCCTTTTTATTTTATTTTTTTTATTTTGAGATAGGGTCTTGCTAAATTACTTAGAGCCTCACTGAATTGCTGAGGCTGGTTTTGAACTTGCAATCCTCCATTCTCAGCCTGCCAAGCCACTGGAATTACAGGCATATGCCCCTGAGCTTGACTACTTTGTTGTTTCTGATGAGAAGTCAGCCTTAATTATTGTATTCTTTTGTATTTTGTTCTCCTCTGCATATTGTTTTCTGTTGCTGCTGCTTTTCAAAGACTTTGTTACTCAGTAGTGTACTATGATGCTTACTTGATAAGGTCCTTTTTCAAATTCTAATTTGGTTGTGTTTTTAATAGTTTTGGTTTCTGTTGAGATTGCCTACTTATTGAATCTTTGTCCTGTTTCTCTAATTCTTAGAAAGTAACTTCTTATATTTTAAGGACATTTTTCTAATTGCTGTTTTAGAGTTTTTCTCTGCTAAGTCCATTATCTGGGCCACTCTGAACAATTTCTTTTCTTCTTTTTTTTTTTTTTTTTAGTATTTCTTTTAGTTGTACACAATGCCTTTATTTTTGTTTATTTATTTTTATGTGGTGCTGAGGATTGAACCCAGGGCCTTGCATGCACCAGGTGAGTGCTCTACGGTTGAGCCACAACCCCAGTCCCACTCTGAATAATTTCTTAAATCTGACTTTCCTTTGATTATAGATCATAATTTTCTGTTCATTTTATATCTTATAATTTTTTTTTAAAGTAGGCATTTCAGATAATGCATGTAGCATGCTTGTATTTTTTTTTTTCATGCCTTAAAATTCCTATTTGATCATTTTGGGACAACTTTTAATTTTTTAAATTGCTGGTTTCATTATTTTGGGTGATAATATTGTTTTAGTTCCTCAACTAGATTATAAGGCTGTAGTGGACAGAAACTGTATCTTAAACAAGGAGGATCTACCATAGTGTTAGAGGTAATTCTAATTTCATGGTCTTTGTTTAAGTACTTTACAGAATTTTTGTTAAAAACAAATAGTATTACTATAAATTCCATAGCTGCAGAAGAACTTTTCTATAATCAGAACCGACTATAACTTTTAGTTAAGAACTGATTTGATTACTATTATACCTGGGAAAAAGAATACATATAGATTGACTTGTTTTGAAACTCTGGAGAACAAATACCCACTTGTTTTCTATGGTTTTCTCATCGTACTCTGTAAATGTATAAACTGACAGGCAGAGAGGTTCTAAACTCGGAGGCCCATTAGTAATATCAAAGTTGTTTTCTTGCAGGAAATAGGGTAATCATTAGTAGTCCATTAGTATTGGCAATCAGGTTTTATTAACTGAATGAGCAGAGCTAAAATCAAAATGTTCTTATTCATTTATACTATTATATTTAGAATTTATTTTAAGATTTATTAGTATTATTGTAATAAATAGAATAGATATAAATGTTCTGCAAAGTCAGTATTGAAAATAATGAAGGAAAGATTGAACATTAAATTACATATTAACAATTTAAAAAAATTTTTTTTTGTAGTAGTAGATGGGTGCAATACCTTTATTTTATTTATCTTTATATGGTGCTAAACCCAGGGCCTCACATGTGCTAGGCAAGTGCTCTATCACTGAGCTGCATCTTCATCTCCTACATAGTAACAATTTTTGAGATCCTGTACTTGAAAGAAGTTTTATAATTTCTTTATTGTTAATTTCATTTTACATTTTTAGGTATGCCATTGCATTGGCCTTAAGGGAAAAGCAGCGTGTAATATTTACCAGCCCAATTAAGGCTTTGAGTAACCAGAAGTACCGTGAAATGTATGAAGAATTTCAAGATGTTGGTCTCATGACTGGAGATGTGACTATTAATCCTACAGCATCTTGTCTTGTTATGACTACAGAGGTAATTTATATAGTGCCTCACTTAACTTTCCCTTTTAAATTTAGCTAATATATCTATTAAATTAGAATGTAATATTTTATCACTTTTTAAATAAAATACAATACTTCATTTTCTCAGTAGACTTATTTGAAATGAATACAATTTATTTTAAAATGTTCTAGTAACATTAAATGTATTTCCAAATTACTGCTACTCCTCATGTTGTATGGATTCTTTTTTTCAAGTACTTTAAAGTTTTTACTGTCAATGACATGAAAATGTTTTGTTGATTATGTATACATAGTTTCTTATAAGTAGTGGCTCTTTTTGTTCCATGTGATTTTGTTTTTTTTCCTCTGCATCATCTAAGTGTTGATTAAAGTAGGTAAATAATCAGCTTTTTAAAAAATGCAGTATTTAGCCTCTTCTTATAATCATAGTTAAGTTTTGCAATATTTAATAACTAAGGTTTACACTTGATTAGCTATCTTTACTGTTTGAGGTACTTTTGCTTATACTTTAGTAATATCCTTTCATTTTACAAGAATATAGTATAATAGCATAAATTAGGTTCTGTCTGGAGAGTCAACAAAAAGCATCTCTCACTTTTCATTTTGGTGTTCAGTATAACTTAGGCACCAAATCTATCTATGGAAATTTTCTTTTAACTCCAAAAATAAAAATAATAATAAAAAAGATTGTTACAAAGAGTCTGTGTTGTGAAGTGATGATGCAGTAAACAAGGGGCAAACTGTGGGATCCATTGTCTCAGAAGATAGTTTAACTTTCTTTCAAATCCTAGGAAGTGCAGCCCTTGGGAAAGTGCTGTGCATAAAAGAAAGTGGCTTTATATCCTAGAGAGTAGAGATGATAATGGTTCTCTTCTTGGATTATATTTGATTAGTAATTCAAGTTGAGAAGTCAGAGATATGTAGCCATCTAAAATTATTTTAATATATCCAAAGAATATCCAGAATTCCTTAATAGGAAAAAGAAAGTTTTTGTCTATTAGATGTTGTGCTAAAATCCTGCTAAATTCCCCTCCCCCTTTTTAAATAGATTTTAAGAAGTATGCTGTACAGAGGTTCTGAAGTTATGCGAGAAGTTGCTTGGGTCATTTTTGATGAAATCCATTACATGAGAGATTCAGGTATGTTCTACAGTGCTGAGATGTATACCATGTATTTCACTAAAGAATGGTATTAGGAGCGCCGGGGTGGTGGCTTGTTTGTAAAGCACTTGCCTAGTATATGTGAGGCATTGGGTTCAATTCTCAGCACTGCATATAAATAAATAAGGGTCCATTGACAACTAAAAAATATACATGTATAAAAAAGATTTTGACCTTAAAAACAAAGGCATTAAGATTTTGAACCAAAACTGCTCAATTTTGCTTTCAATTTTTGTGTTCCTAGGATTCTAATAAGTTATAGCTTCTTTAAATTGTAGAAATCATCATGAAACATTTTCCTCAGGATTTCAAGTAAAGCTCCTTAATAACTTTTAGTGACTTTTGTTGGATAAGAAAATACTAATTCAAGCCAGGCGCTGTGGCCCATGCCTGTAATCCCAGGGGCTCGGCAGGCGGAGGCAGGAGGATTTCTAGTTCAGAGCCAGCTTCAGCAACTTATGAGCAAGGCCCTAAACGATTCATAGAGACCCTGTCTCTAAATAAAATACAAAAAAGGCCTGGAGATGTGGCTAAGTAGTTAAGTTCACTCCCCAGTACCAAAAAAGAATACAAATTCAAATAAAGCAAATTAGTGCTGGGGATATAGATCAGTGTTAAAGCCTGAGGACTTGGGTTCAATTCCCAATATCACAAAAAAACAAAAACAAAACAAAAAGCAAAACTGGCTTGCTTTTAATACAGAACTCTTTAATATCAATAACATTAAAGAATTTCTAAAACTTCTTACAAGGTTAACATTCTTGATTTTTATTGTTAGTTTAGTTTTTTACAGTAAACTAAAATGTGTGTTTATGGTAAAAAGTGGAAGTAGGCATGTGAAATAAAAATGAGCAAAGAGAAAAAATTATTTATATCCTTTATTCTGGCTATTACATTACTATAGTGGAAAAGTAAGTATACTGGGAATTTTGGGAGTTCTGAGAGAGTTAATGTTAACAAAGAGGTTTAAAGGGTAATGTTTCATATGTACACACTAAAAACAGGATTTGATATTTTATTTAAAAGCACAGAATTTGCTGTGTTTTTGATAAAAGTAATAGACTTTAACAAAGTTTTTATTAGTATTTCACCCTTGTCCACTTCACTCTATTAAGCCGTGAACAGAATGGTTTTGGTTTTAAAATCATGAATCCCATGTTGATTTGTTTATTGTAGGGAGGAAACTGTCAAATTGACTTTCCTGGTTTTTTTCCATTTTACTAAAAACTGACTTATTAGAATTCTGGTGTTCATCAGATCTTTCTTTCATCTTCACAGGACCATTATGGTAATTTAAATGAAAGATGCCATATGGAACAGTAATAGTTTTAACTTCCAAATTTGTTTTCATAGTTTTCTACAAGCCATTAACCCCAGCTTTTTAAAGTGTAGTGGTAATACTGTTTCCCTGCCTTGTCACTGGGACTCTGAAGGAAAGGATTCAATCTGGAACTGCTTTTTTTTTCAGGCTATTTCAGAGTAGATGGTGTTTTAATGTACCAAGTTTCTAATTCATAGCTTCATGATGAAAAGTAGTTTTCAGTAGGTTTTGTCGCTAAAAATATGCTTGTGTAAAGTGCTCTGCATTTTAAATTACTAAGCTTAAGAGAAAATTATTTTAGATAATTGTCACCAAAATGTCACTGAATTCCAAGGTATATTTATTTTTTCAGAGCGTGGCGTAGTATGGGAGGAAACTATTATTTTGCTTCCTGATAATGTTCACTACGTCTTTCTTTCGGCTACTATTCCAAATGCCCGACAGTTTGCTGAATGGATTTGCCATTTACATAAACAGGTATTTTCTTTCTCTCTTTTGATGATGCTATTATTTTTACAGATTGGCCTTACTGTACTTTTCTTCTAATGCTATTCTGATTAGAATAGCCTTACTACTTCTTATACAAGTAGCTTATCAAAATCATCTAACTTTTTAGAAATGCTGATTTCTTAGTCCCATCTCAAACCCTTGGAAGATAGATTTTTTCGAAGTTTCTAAGTTAATCCTGATTATCCACCAGGTTTGGAAATGACTGTATTTACTCTGACAGTGAGACACAAATACAAAGTAGAGTTTCTTTCCTCTTAAGGCTTTGGTACCTAGTGGTCTCTTGAACATTTAATTTGATTTGATTTTTCCCATGTAACATTGTCACACTTTCTTTTGTTTCCATTTTCTTTGCTAGTGCAGATTTAGTGTCTGTCTAGGCTCTGTAACAATTATTTGTTTATGCATACTGAATTTTTTTTGCCCTTAATTTTTCCTCTGCACTAATATCCTCATGAAAAATTATTTTTAACCTATTTATGAGCACTCCTATGGAATGTTTTTAATACTTTCCCACCCGATGTTGCCTAAAGGAGAGAAACCCAGTGGATCTAGATCTGCTGGGATAGCTAGATCAGTCTGCCGCTTTAGAAAGATTTTGAAAAACATTTGTGGGATACAAAAAGTTCATTTACCTCAGGAATCCTTTGTATCACCATATTATTCCATAGAAACAGAGCATGTTCTGTGTACTTACATTATCCCAGGAGTAGGTAATGGGTACTTGAAATATAGGATCACCAATTAGGGAATTGGTGAATTGAGACATCAGTCTTGTATGATTTTGGTAGACTTAATTTTTCCTCTTTCCTCTTAACTAGTTTTAAAAATATTCTTTTAAAGTATTTTATTTTTACATGCTTAAATCACCATTTTAATTACATGAGATCTTTTGGATGGGTCAAATGTACATTTTTATGTTGAGGAGATAAAAAGTTTGTGTATGTAATTATTTCTTTCTTTTTACAGCCTTGTCATGTCATTTACACGGATTATAGGCCTACTCCATTGCAACACTACATTTTTCCAGCAGGGGGAGATGGCCTTCACCTTGTGGTTGATGAAAATGTAAGGGTTTGTCATTCTGTCATACTTCATTATCTTGTTTTTCCTTGATATTGAACTAGAGAAAAATGGCAGAGATGCATATTTTTTTCTCAAATAGTTTTGCATTCCAAGATTTATTTTTTTAAATATTTTTATTTCAGAATTTGTATTTGATGCCAGGCATTGTGGGACATGCATTTAGTTTCAGCTACTTGGGAGGCTGAGGCAGAACGATTGCTTAGTCCCAGGAATTTGAGGCCAACCTGAGCAACCTAGCAAGACCCTGGCTTAAAAATAAATACATAAAATTATATTTGAGATTTGCATTTTTCTTATGCATGAATTTTTCTGTCTTCCTTTTCTAGTATTTAAAAACATCTGAGAATTGAGGCTCTAGATGTGTTTCAGATGTTTTATGCCTTGCTTTTCACAATTCCATTCCTTCTTATTACCTCTTATTACCTCTCATCAAGGATTATGTTTTAATTATTTTAGTAACCTTTGTTTTATTTATTGTTAAATTGTTTTTATTATTTGATTAAGCTTTGTGTTTGAGTTATGAAAAATGTTTGAATTATGATTAAATGTAAATTACTTAAAAAGATCTTTGATTTCAGGGTGACTTCAGAGAAGACAATTTTAATACTGCAATGCAAGTGCTTCGAGATGCAGGTGATTTGGCAAAAGGAGACCAGAAGGGGCGGAAAGGAGGAACAAAAGGTAATTTGGAACTTTGTTTCAAGAGGATTTTACATGTAAATTGTATATTCAAATTATTCCAATATTTTATGTCTTTAATGTTTTTCTCAGGAATCTATTTAGAGTTCTAGGTGATATATAGCAAAATTGAATGAATAAAGATTGATCTCTACATTCATTTTGATGTAATTTGAATAAAATAGAAGCCACCCAATTAAAGTGTACAATTCAGTGGTTTTTAGTAAATTCATGTTATTATCGAAGCTTTTTTTATATTTACACATAATTCACATACTATGAAGTCCGTTATTTTAAAATACATAACTTGGAAGTTTTTAGTATATTCTTTGAGTTTTAAAACCATGACCACTATGTAATTCCAAAATATTTTTATCAACCTTGAAAGAATTCCTGCATACATTAGCAGTCATTATCCATCTTATTCACTCCTTATTTTATTTATTTATTCTGTGGACTTAGACAATTACTAATCTACTTTCTGTCTATGGATTTGCCTTTCTGTATAGCTCATATAAATGGAAATCAAAAGTGGTCTTTTGTGACTGGCTTCTTAAAGTTTTTAAGATTCATTCCACTTATACTGTGTGTCAGTACTTCATTCTTTTTTATGGTCAAATAACATTCCATTCTATGAATAATACCACATTTTATTTCTCCATTCACCAGTGAATGGACATTTGGGTTTCTAGTTTTTGATTGTTAATGAATAATGTTGCTGTAAACATTCTCTTATGTACTGCATGTTCTTGCAGGAATATATGTGTTTTATTTTTTCCTTGTTATGTATCTAGGAGTAAATTGATGGGTCATATGAAAGGAATATGTTTAACCTTTGGGGGACTACCAAATTATTTTCCAAAATGGCCTCACCATATTACATTCCCATTAGAGTGTATAAGGGTTCCACTTTCTCAACATTGAATCCAGGGATGCTTAACCACTGAGCCACATCCTCAGCCCTTTTTGTATTTTATTTAGAGACAGGGTCTCACTAAGTTGCTGAGGCTTGCTTTGAACTTGCTATCCTCCTGCCTTAGCCCCTGGTATTACAGACATGTACCACTCTGCCCTGTTCTCCGCATTCTTGCTAGTATTTAGTGTTTTGTGTCTGTTCGAGTTTTGTGTCTATCCATGTAAATGTCAAGTGATATTTCTGTGTGGTTTGATATACATTCCCCTGATTGACTAGTGATTTTAAGCAATTTTTTATATGCTCATTGGTCATTTGTACATCTTTGAAAAAATGTCTGTTTCTTAAACTTTGTCCACTTGTAAATTAGATTGTTTGGCTCTGTTGTAAAACTTCTTTTTCTATTCTGGATTTTAGACTTTTATCAGACAGATGATTTGTAATATTTTTTTGTGTTTGGATGGGAGTTTTTTTCTTTTACTTTATTAATGAAGTCCATTAAAGTATGAACGTTTTTCATTTTGATGAAATCTAGTAGTAGATTATTTTCCTTTTATTGCTTTTGTTTTTGGTGTCATATCTAAGAATACTTTGTCTGACTTAAGATTATCAAGATTTTATCCCATATTTTAAGAACTTTATAGTTTTAGCTTTTATGTTTAGGTCTGTCATCCATTTTTAATTAATTTTGGTGTATGATTTATCTACTTTTTTTGCAGGACCATCAAATGTGTTCAAGATAGTGAAAATGATTATGGAAAGAAATTTTCAACCTGTAATTATTTTCAGTTTTAGTAAGAAGGATTGTGAAGCTTATGCTCTTCAAATGACCAAATTAGATTTCAACACAGGTACTACATAATTTGTCTGTAGTTTTAATGTGGTGTGAAAATTAATGTAAAATATATTTCTAATAATGTATCTGTTGTTACTTAGTACTCAGCATGTTTGAAAAGTTTTAAGAGACCCTTGCTTTAAATTTCTTCTCTACCCTCTTTTATTAATAAAGATGAGTATTAAGCTTTATATTATTCCCAGATAACTCTACGGAGAAACATTAAAATCATACCATCTTTCTTTTCATTGCAGTTGGTTATTGTGGTTCTCTCTTCTGCTTCTTAAGAATTAGTCTTTTGATCAGACTACTTTGTCTTATAAATATTGTGCTTCATTCCTAATAGGTCACTAACTATGTTGAAACTGAAAGTAGTAAAAACTTCTAGGAATATATATTCACTATGAATATACCTCACTAGCCTAGTCAAGAATTGCAGTTGTGATTAATACTAGCCCAGTTGTCATTCAGTTCTGCTGTTTCATATGCAGTTCTTACAGTGAGTAGTAAATGATATCTTGAATCATCCAAAAATCAAATTTCCATTTTATTGTTTTCTTTATCAAGATAGAGATTGTTTTCTTTTTTCTTTCTTTCTTTCTCTCTCTCTTCCTCTCTTTTTCCCTCCCTCCCTCCCTCCCCCCCCCCCCCCTCCCTCTCCCCCCCCCTCTGTCTCTCTCTCTCTCTCTCTAAAACGACAGATGGTAACTACACAGCTTCCTAATGCCAATATTTTTTGAGTGAATTGCTCTGCTTAGAAGTATTTTCTCTAAAATACCGGTGCCAAAAATGGTAAAAGTTTCAAGATTATATGTTGATTAATTTAACAAATATGTATTGAGTAATTATTTGATAGTACAAGAGGACAGTTCAGTGATTAAGAGCATGGGCTTTGGTATCATTATTCTAACAGTTAATAGCAGTGTTGATTATATACACTAAACCTCACTTAATAAAAGGTGGGTAATAATAAAAGGTGGGTAATAATAGTTGTTGTGTCCTATATTGTTAGAAATAGGTGTTACTTGTAAAGCACTTAGTGTAGTTATTTGTTACTATTTTTATTTGCTTTTTTCATGAATTTAGTCTTCTAGATACATTTTGAGAGACAGTAAATTTTATTAATTATGTGGTGATTTTTATCTGCTTCTTAAGCACTGATTCTTTACTTTTACTCTGTAGACTCCTATTGTAATGTGTGAAGTTTGGTATCAGACTCATTTTATTATTTATGTGCCCTTGAATTTTCTCTTAGACGAAGAAAAGAAGATGGTTGAAGAAGTATTTAGTAATGCAATTGACTGCTTGTCTGACGAAGATAAAAAACTCCCTCAGGTAAGTTTTTAAAATTACTAAGTATAGATGTTAATAAATGGCTTATATTAGCTTTTGTTACAGTGTATCACTGCTTGTACTTTGCAGCCTTGTATACTGAAATGATACGTTAATTTGTATTTTAAAGTGCTGAAAAGGTAACTGGAGAAAAGATTTGGGAGCTTTTCACCAAAAAAAAAAAAAGAAAAAAAAACACACGATCTGAATATTACTGCTTTTGTTGCCACATTATGAAATTTTTAGTGCTAGTACTATTTCTTAATTCATAAGAATACCAAATACAACAAAACAAGAGAGTACCTAATCAAAATTATGTTTAGTGAGGAAATTAACACTACTGTAATCATGTTTTTCTTTTGAACGTTGAAATTGCATGAGAATTCTAAAATATGCAGATACTTAGGTGCCACTCCCAGAGATTCTGATTTGATGGCTCTGATTTCTATACTGTTACTAGATTTCTTTCAAAAACTCCCTATGTGATTCAACTATATATCCAAAACTGAAAACTACTACTTTAGATCAACATAGTACATGAAACTTTTGTTATATGAAGACAAATATTTGGAGTAATACTCTGCTGTACAAATGAATGCTTGATTTGTAAGGGATTTATTTAAGACTTACAATAGCATGTTTGTTGACCTTTAAAATGGTATTTATAAATCTGTTTTGTAATTTTTCTTCTCAACTGAATTATTAGTATAAAAGGAATGAGCCATATCTTTATACAAAACTTTGTTATCTTAACATACTTCTAATAGTAGGTATTTGATGTTGTTTTATAGATGTTAATGATTATGTGTTTATTTTTAAATGAAGTTCATATTTATGTTAAGTCTGGTCATAGTTATTTTTCTTGCTTATGAATGACCAGTTACATTTTAGGTTTGTTTGTTTATTTTTTAAGATACAGAGTTTCACCCTGTTGCCCAGACAGCTCTGAATTCTAGATTAATCCTTCTACATCAGCTTCCATAGTAGCTTGAACTATAGGTACATACCAACATGCTGGTCTGTTAATTTATTTTGCACAGATAAACTCTATTCTCTTAGCTCAGGATTATTTTGGAGGAGATGAAATGATCCTGAAAAATTTGAGGCATCAAAGGATTTGTGAAATTTATTCACACATACTTATTATGTCATAGATAAAGGAAGGCCAGAGTTTGTTTATATTTTAAGTTAAATAATCTGGCAATATGGGGTTTGGGTTTTGCTTTTATTCTGATAAGATTTCATGAAAAGGTTTTTATTCTGAAAACATTTTATGCTTTCTTTAAACAAAACATTCTTTTTAATTACCCATTTTTCTTAATATTTAGTTTAACATTTTAAAATGTCCTATCATAAATGTTATTCGAAAATCACAGGTTGAACATGTACTTCCTCTTTTGAAGCGAGGGATTGGTATTCACCATGGTGGTTTACTTCCTATTTTGAAAGAAACTATAGAAATTCTCTTTTCTGAAGGATTGATAAAGGTATGGTTTTATTTTTATTTGTAATGCCACTGAATTGTGTCCTATAGACAGTTTGAAGATTACAGTTAACATTGTTTGTGAGCAGTTTTATTTTGTTTCTTCTGTGTGGGGGATTGAACCCAGGTCCTCACACATGGCTAACCAAGCACTCTATCACTGAGCTATCCTCACAACCTCTCTCGGCAATGTTTTGATTTTTGTGTTTATTCTTAAAGAATAAATTTTGGCATGCAGATTAAAAAAGAAATCATGTTTCCTTAAAGTAAGAAATAGTATCACTATTGAATACCTTTTGGAGAAGGTGCTGTCTACTTATTAGACATGGAGTTGATTTAATAAGTGAACTTCTTCCTACTGATTAAGAGGACTCATTTAAAGAAGACAAGAACTGCTTGTTAAAGTTAGGAAAGAGAGGACTGGGGTTGTAGCTCAGCAGTAGAGCACTCGCCTCACACATGCAGGACTCTGGGTTCGATCCTCAGCACCACTAAAAATAATTAAGTGAAATAAAAGTATTAAAAAAAAGAATTAGGAAAGAGAGTTATAGAATGTTTTGATTGAACCCATGGAGAGTCTAATTTGATTTTCTAAAAAAATTACACTGATGCTTGAACCCAGAGGGTTACAGTTTCACATTGGAAACATGAGCTTCTATATGACTCACCAATTATTTTATATTTAAAAATCATTAAAATTTTAAAAAGGATGGAGCTTTATTGGAGAATTTTAAAGCCTTACATAGAATTTTTTTAAGAAATAATTTTTCATCCTGAAGAATGTATTTGAGGTATCAGGGTATCAGGGATTGAACTCAGGGACACTCAACCACTGAGTCACATCCCCAGCCCTATTTTGTATTTTATTTAGCGACAGAGTCTCACTGAGTTGCTTAGTGCCTCATTATTACTAAGGCTGGCTTTGAATTCACGAATTCAGAGACGATCCTCCTGTCTCTCCCTCCCAAGCTGCTAGAATTACAGGTTTGAGTTACTTTAATAAAGATTTGGTAATGTTTATACTGGGTCTTAATAAGTCCCTTTTTTCCCTTCTAGATTATAAATTTGTGAAGTTTTACTTTAAAAGGATTTTTTTTTAAAAAGTATGAATGATAGTTGTTTGTTGTAAAATTCAAGTAATTATAAATAAAATAAAAAGTGAAAGAGATGCATTCCTTTCATTTCCCACAAATACCTTCATTCCTTTTAGCCAATGAATATTAAAGTATTATCTTTCCTATTGAGGAAAATTTGGTGTCTTAGTGACATGTACATATATCTTTTTATGCTTGGTTCAATCTTAGTTGTGATCCTAAAGACTGAGTCTGACCTCCCCTGAGATCACAGTGTTGAAGTGATTTCCAGATCTCTTGTATTATTAGTGAAGAAGCCAGGAAATTTTGCAATATGTGTTTAGAAAAACATTGTACAGTTTGAAGCTTTTTTAGACAAGTTGAGAGAATTCTCGTTACCGCCACTAGAATTTAGAATAGGCTGTTTTCCTTGAACTAAAAAATTTGGGGATACAAGGGACATCAAATAATATCTAATACTTTTGTATGCAAAATATTGCAATACATTTGCAAATAGCATCTTCTCTGTTATTTTTGTAGGATCTCATTAAATAATTAAAAATTATTGATAGTTTTTTACTCCTGAAAATTGTAAGACTGATTTTTATCTTAAAATACATGTTTAATTATATATTATTTGTTTAGGCCTTATTTGCCACAGAGACTTTTGCTATGGGAATTAACATGCCAGCTAGAACTGTTTTATTTACAAATGCCCGTAAATTTGATGGGAAGGATTTCCGATGGGTGAGTAAAGTAATTCATATATTGAAATAACTTTGATTTTTGTTTTACCTAAAATGACTTTGCTTTGGAGATTTTTCAGTCCCAAATACTTAAGAAATTGTACCTGAGCTTATATGGTGGAGATTCCTTAATTTGAAAAAACTTCAAAATAATAAAACACTAATGACCAACATGATGCTCAAAAAATTTTGGCTTTTGGAGCAGTTCAGAGTTTTGTATTAGGGTTGCTAAACTGATAAAGTCTATACATGTTCCAAAATCCAAATTCCAAACATTTCTGATATGGGATATAGAAATCTGTACAAATTACAGATTTGAAATCTAAAAATTAATCAAGAGTAAACCATGGATCCCTTATCTATCCAGTGACTCCCAGAAGCTCCTTTGGATGAAGGAGTTTGGTGATGGGAGATAAGTCTATGAGTTATTTTTGAATTCTTTTAAACATTTTAAATCTAGAATGTTCATTTCTTAAAAGTTTAAGGTATGTAAAACACCCCTATTACAATGGCTGTTTGCAGCTCACTGTTTTCCCCTTCAAGTATAAAATAGAAGTTCTAATGGGTTTACATACATATTTTGTAAACACAGAACAAAAGAGAGTTGGGAGCATGGGTGAAACAGTGAACGGGGTAAATAGTAAATCTTAAATCCAGAGAAAAATACCCCATTCATCAAGCAGTTACCAAGATTAGATACTGGGATGCTAATGTAAAATCAAGAACTAAAAAACCCCAACTTTAAAGAGAATAGTACCACATGAAAGTTAACAGACATGCAACATGTCTATAATCTTATATCTAAATATTATAGATGCTCTGAGAAGCATTTCTAGAAGGATAATATTGTAAGAAGGGAAGTCAGTTGTATGACTCATTAGAGTCAGGGGAGACTTCATAGAGAAGGTAGTTCTTTACTATCACCAGGTGCGTCTTTATCAGGAAGGCAGTGAAGCATTGGTAAGAGTGAAAAGCAGTGATAAACGAAAATTTTCTACATTGAGTATTCAGTATGAGCCAAAGACTCATTTAGTATAACATTTGGGGAGAATTATGAGTAGTCCTTTACTTAACCTTGTATCTTTGAAATTTATCATTGATTCTTAATATAATTTCTCCGTGATTCTTTTCAGCTTTAGAGACGTTTCAGGCAGTAATTACTAATTATCAAAACCCTGACAAGTACCCATGGTAGAAGCGTAATAACAACAGTGTTTTTTTTTTTATTTGTTTTGTTTCAAAATGTATTAGATACTATAAAATAAAGAGAAATTTAAGCATAGTGGGCAATGTCAATTCTCTAGACATTTTTTACGTACCCTTCAAAAATGTTTTTAACTTACTTTTTTAAATTGAAAGGGGTAATTTATGTAGAATATGATTTATTTATTTATTTTAATTTTTTATTGTTGGTTGTTCAAAACATTACATAGTTCTTGATATATCATATTTCACACTTTGATTCAAGTGGGATATGAGCTCCCATTTTTACCCCATATACAGATTGCAGAATCACATCAGTTACACATCCTAGAATATGATTTTTAATTATAAAGAGCTATCTTTCGTGTTTTGTATTTTAAATTAATGTAATTTTTGTTTTCCATAGTCTGTCAGCTTAAAATTAAGAGAATTCTATGTGTAAAATTGATGCTATAAGAAAATACATACTAAGTCTTTTGTAACTTGATCCTTGGCATTCGTTGTCCTTTTGTGGGAAATGTTATAGTTTGGATACGAGGTGTCCCCCAAAAGCTCACGTGTGAGACAATGTAAGAAGACTTTGGGGCTGTGAAAGTCTTAACCTAATCAGTGAATCACTGATGGTATTAACTGATTGGTGGCTGGAGGAAGTGATTAATTGGGGGCATGGCCATGGGGTATATATTTTCTGTCTGGAGAGTGGAGTTTTTCTTTTTCTGCTTCCTGATCAAAATGTGAGCTATTTATTTCCCTCTGCCACACTCTTCTGCCATGATGTTCTGCCTCACCTAGAGCCCCATGAAATGGACCAGCCTTCTATGGACGAGGACCTCTGAAACCATGAGCTCTCAAATAAACTTTTCCTCCCCTAAAATTGTTCTAGTCGGGTCCTTTAGTCACAGCAGGGAAATAGCTGACTAAAACAGTAATACAGGATCTCAGGATAAGGGTAAGTAAGGAGCTGAATTTAACAAAGCAGCCTCTTCTTCATAATTCAAGATCATAATTTCCTAATTATGATTTTAAAATTATCATTGATGCCCTTTGATCCTGCTGAGATTTTTATTGAATTTTAAAAAAAAATGTTTTGATGCTTATAAGAGTTGCTATTTTTGTTGTTTTTATAGTACTTCCCTTGTTCTAAGATGACTGATCTATTCTTGTTTGATATTATAAGTAGTATGCCTTCTTATAAGCATAGTGTTTCTTCACTCTTTTTGATTTTTTTTTTTTAATGGAATTCAGACTTATACATGTACTTATACAAATAACTATTCCCAGTGTTCATGTGGTTCAGTGCTGCTTTGAAAGGTTGCATATGAAAGATTCCTAACGTTTCTCCACTTGTTTATCTTCAGTGGCAGATGAATTGTACCAAATCCCAAGCATACATATGAAGAATTGTGCCTTTTTTAATTATAGTTTTAATTTTATCTTAATCTTACTTCAGATTTAGAAAATGAATTATGGTCAAGTCACTATATTTGGTTGAGTTTGGTTCATTGTTTGCTTTCTCAGATTTCTCTGTTTTTCAGACTATTAGACTGAAAGTTGTTTTTTTTTTTTTTTAAATACCACTGAATAAGCCAGTATTTCCTGGTAGCTGTGGTGTATTTGAAAACATGAATCAGCAGTTATTGGCTTAGAGCTAAAATTTAGTTTTGTAACATTATTCTCGGGCTGGGGATGTGGCTCAAGCGGTAGCGCGCTCACCTGGCATGCGTGCGGCCCGGGTTCGATCCTCAGCACCACATACAAACAAAGATGTTGTGCCCGCCGAAAACTAAAAAATAAATTTTAAAAAATTCTCTCTCACTCCTTCTCTCTCTCTCTCTCTGTCTCTCTCTCTCTCTCTGTGTGACGTGTGTCTCACACTGTCTTTAAAAAAAAATCATTATTCTTCAAGTGTTTTGCATTTGGGAACTTCTACTTAAATTTTTCTATAAGTTCTTGTTGTTTTAAATCGTGTTTTCTTCCTTGGAATGTAGAAATTTTATTTGTAAAATTTAAAATAAAAATTCAAGAACATGGGGGAAAAAAAAGGAGTTTCTCCTAAACTCTATTTTAATTGTGTTCATTCAGATTTCCTCTGGTGAATACATTCAGATGTCTGGTCGTGCTGGAAGGAGAGGAATGGATGATAGAGGAATAGTAATTCTTATGGTAGATGAAAAGATGAGCCCAACAATTGGAAAACAACTACTTAAGGTAACTGAGTTAAGGTTCCATGCTTTTACAAGAATTGTAGAAATATACTTCAGGAGCAACTTCACAATTAGTTGTTTCTGTTCAAGTACCTTTCTAAAAGTAGATGATTTTCATTGAACTATTTAAATTTAGGTAGGTAGAAGAAAATAACCACTCAAGATACTGATATCTTGCATTGTACTTCAGCTAAAAGATGAAGAGCCGCTTATACAATGGAGGTGGCTGGGAAGATGCCCAAAGAGGGCAGAAATGTTTATTTCAACCTCTAGATTTAGGATACCTCTATTTGCTTCCTCCACTGTACAAGTTGCAGTTTACCTATCTGATAGGAAGTGGGACACATAATATTGATGTTTTGGACAGTCATCTTCCTCAGTCTTTTCAAGCCCAAATGCTTTAATAAATTCATCTAGCAAATATACTTTTACAGTTCACTTTGTTAATTATAAATATCTTAATCATAAATTTGTATTTTAAGCTTTATTGAAAATTAGCTTTTTATTTTGTTTGCTTAGTTTTTGAATTTTGGATGGTTGAGGAATTTTCCAGAAGTTTAACTGCTTACTTTCCTTCTTTATTTAGTAAGAAGTCCTTAGAGAAAACATAAGATAGGAAACATAAAATGAACTAAACACGTAACATTAATTGCTAGCCAATTAGCTCCTCAAATGAAGCTGTAAAACATTTTAAGTTACACCTATGTCTATATGTATCAAATAGATGTCTGTTTAACTTCTAAAACTTGGGAAGAATTTACATTGGGTAATTATTACATACATATATCAAGGGAAAATTAGATAAAGATGTCATGTATATTTTTCTTTGTTTTTATAAAAGTGAAGACAAAGCATGACTGTACATATTCATAATGGTCATATGGTATCATGTTTTCAGTTTCAAACATCAACACTTGAAAGCCTTTTCACAAGGATTCATATAACTTTAATTCTTCATGGAAGGAAAATTACACAAGACCAAAAATTTGTATTATTATTCTCTTTGACAAGTGGCAGATGTAACAAGTACTGTTTTTCTTTCCTTGTATTATATGTGTGGAAAGAACAGAATCAGGTTGCCAGATTGTAGGAGGTAATATTTTTAGGATAGCATCTGGTTCTTTAAGTACAGTTTCATTCCATTCACTTGACATTTCTGGATTTGTTGCTCTGTAAGTGTAAAGATCTGTTGTCTTTCATTTAATTCTTAGAACATTTTCAGCAACCCAAGAAAGAAACCCTCTACTTCTTAATAGTCACTCTCCTTCACTACTAAGATCTGGCTTCTTAAGTTCTAGACAGCTACTAATCTTTCTGTTTCTATAGATTAGCTTATACTGAACATTTCAGATGAACAGGCTCATATAAAATGTGGCCTCCTATATCTGTCTTTGTTTGCTTAATGTAATGTTTTCAGGTTTCATCTTGTGTCATGTGTCAGTACTTCATTTCTATTTTATCAGTTAATATTCCATTGTATGGGTATACTACACTGTGTGTGTGTGTGTGTGTGTGTGTGTGTGTGTGTGTACATTGCTTGATTGATTTCGGTACCAAGAGGGAATTTGTATAGTCATATATTACTGCTGAATAGAGAAGTGATCCCAATATTACAATGAAATTATAGTTAAGAAGATTCTTTTAACAGAATCTTAGATTCATCATACTAAATAAATTGAAATTGAAACTAGAACGGTTAAGATGGTAGTGTAATTTAGGTATGATTTGATGAACCACTGAACTGAAATGGTAACAATGGTAAGAAAGCAAAAACTAATCTGAAATGTATTGAGGAAATAATCTGTAATGATTAATTAAAAGGAAGGGGGGAAAAAACAGAAGAAAGAACTCCTAAATTATAACTTAAGTGAGAAACTCATTTTCCTTTAATCTATGAGAGAAATAAGTTGGTTAGATAGGGAAAAAACAAGAGAGATTTTATTTTAAATAGTATAACTATCTTATTTTTCATTCAAACTGGAATACTGTAAGATAAAAGGAAGGGGCTATTAGTAATTATACCAGTTCAATAGGGAAAGGTGGGACTACCTTGGGCTTACTTGGATACAGTGTCAGAATCTATGCTGAATTTCTGGTGACTGAAAATTCAATTGTGTGTCTTGTATAGCAGTTAAAAATACAGAAGCATGGACTGTGGTTGTAGTTCAGTGGTAGAGCACTTGCCTTGCACATGTGAGGCACTGGGTTTGATCCTCAGCACCACATAACAATAAATTAATTAAAGATATTGTGTCCATGTACAACTAAAAAATTTTTCATAAAATACAGAAGCAGGGCTAGGGTTGTGTCTCATCGGTAGAGTACTTACCTAGCACATGCAAGGCCCTGGGTTCGATCCTCAACACCACATAAAAATAAATAAATAAAATAAAGGTATTGTGTCTTAATACAACTAAAATAAATATTTTTAAAAAATACAGAAGTAGAGCTTGGGGTCAGAAATAAACATTTGGCATATTGAAACCCCAGATTTCTTAGAGGAGGTAATACAGAAGATAAAAATAACAGAAAATTAAAACTGAGCCTGTTTGCAGAATTAAAAAATAGCTGAAGTTGTCCAGTTCCTCTTTTCTAAGAGTGTTATTTATGCTAAATTTGCCCCTCTTTTGGGCCTTATTGTTAAGGTAAGTGAATAAATTTCCGAATTTTATGGCTCTTGAGGTTTTCAGAGTTAAATACCTTCATTTGATATTCTGGTAAAAGATCTACTTCTTTTTCTCATAAAAGCTGTCTACATACATTTAAAAGTCTGAATTCTAAATGGTGGGTCTGTAGTTCTCAACTTAAGATACCCTGAATAATAGAATTTGCATATTATACTACACCATTTAGAAATATTTAGCATACTTAGTAAAATTTCTAAATATTTCAGCATATTCCCTCAATGATTTAGTCATTCTTTTATATAATTATATACTTTCATACTTAGGAGGTATTAGCATTTAAAAACATACTTCCGAAGAAAACATTGCTAAAAAAAAAAAAAAGTTTAGATGTAAAGGTAATATTTTGGATATAAACCTTATTGTAAGTTAAGGTCACACTATTTTAAAATTCCACAATAAAATTTATTGTATTTTACAATGAAATATACTATCTATTCCTTAGTCTCGCCCTTCTTTGGTAACAGCCACAATTAGGAGGACAAAAAGGAATTATTGAAATATACATAAAGAATGGTCTTTAAATTTAGCAGTTTGTCACAGGAATTTCAGGATACTTTTATTGGACTGGGGTCGGAGGTAAGTGGTTAGAGCACTTGCTTCACACATGGAAAGCCCTAAGTTCTCCAGCACCATCAAAAATAAATAAATAAAAATTTGAAAATGCATTTTTATCTGAGTATCATACCAATATAATTTTAGTGTGCTGTATCAATATACATTAACTCATGCTTCACTAACAGATGTAAATTTAGGAACTTAAGACTTGTTTCTCTTACCTGCTATGTATTCATTGCTGGTTGGTAGAGGAGATTGTACTTATCATTGTTAGATCTGATGATACCACAATAATCTGGTACATTATTAGTCACTGTGCCAGAGGGGAAATGATAGCTTTTCACACCAGCAAGTAAATATGCACCCAGGAAGTGAGAGACATGTCACTTTCCTCTCAATTTATTAGGGGGCCAGAAAAGCATAATCCTACCATGTGCTTGCAAAGCAGAAAACTAAACACATTTGGCATAGTGTTTTAATTACTATTGTCCTAGTGATTTCTTTTTTTCCCCCTTCACTTTCCCAAACATCAACTATTTTATCACTTTACATTAGTCATCTAAGGGAAAGAACTAGTATAGTTCTGTAGTATCACATAACATAGATTAAATGATTAAGCATTATAACATTAAAATGCTTATAAGAATTTATTTAAAAACTTATAACATTGATATGTTATTCTCCCTTAGGGCTCAGCTGATCCTCTAAATAGTGCTTTTCATTTGACTTACAACATGGTTTTAAACTTACTACGTGTAGAAGAAATTAATCCTGAGTATATGTTGGAAAAATCCTTCTACCAGTTTCAGCATTATAGAGCAATTCCAGGAGTAGTAGAAAGTAAGTATAAAATGACCGTAACAGAGAAAGTAAGTATAAAATTACTGTAATAACAAAATGACTGCATTGCTGACTGCATTTGGCCTTTTTTTTTTTTTTTTTTTCCTCTAGTAAGGCAAAGCTTGGTCTCTATATAAAAAAGACTGCAGAACTAAATTCTGGTCTTTTTATAGAGAGGAACATTTGGCAATACAGTTTTTTCTAGTTGGTTCCACCATAGTACAATTTATTGGTTTATATACAGATATATGTATCACATTATTCATGTTCTGGAATAATAGTACAACCAAAAGCTTGGCATATTAAAATTTGATTTGTAAGAAACATGTATATATTAGTCTTAACCTTTTACTACTTCTCATTATGAGAGTGTCACAGCATAAGCTTATGAATGATTATTGAAATATAATGCTTTAATGTGGATTCATTTCACTGCCTTTAGAACTTCTAATTCCTGATATTAAGATAATGATTTTTAAAGTCCAAAACTAATTTTTCTATGGTAACTACATTCAAATTGTTCATTGATCTTTATAGAGGGTAGTGTGGCAGGTCATCATATAGTGCTGATTTAAAAGTAAATAAAGGCAAAAGTTTAAGTTACTGGTTTACATAAATATTATAAAAATAGTTCACAGTTATTGCAAAAAAAGAAAAGTGCAGTAAACAGAAAAGCTAAAACCATTTATAATCTCACACAGGTGGCTGTACAACTACTGTTAACAGTTTGTATTTCTTCCATCCTTTCTCATGCTTGTGCTTTTCTTTTTTTATAAGGTAAATACAGTTGAACTTTTTTCATAATAGTTACTATTGTGCTTGTAATTTATATCATTGCTTATTGTTTATATCATATGTTAAATATTTACCCTATGCCTAGCCTGTATTAAATGTTTTACATTTACTAGCTTGTTAATTGTAGCTTTTTAAAATTGAAGTTCGAGGGACTGGGGTTGTGGCTCAATAGTAGAGAGCTCACCTAGCATGCACGAGGCACTGGGTTCTATTCTCAGCACCACATAAAAATAAAATAAAGATATTGTGTCCACCTAAAACTTAAGAATAAATATTTTAAAAAGTCATAAAAAAATAAAATTGAAGTTTAAGTTCCTTTGAAAAAATGTGATTTTTTTGTTGTTGGGTGTGGTGGTGCACACCTGTAATCCCAGCAGCTCAGGAGGCTGAGGCAGGAAGATCACAAGTTCAAAGCCAGCCTCAGCAAAAGCAAGGTACTAAGCAACTCAGTGAGGCCCTGTCTCTAAATAAAATACAAAATAGGGCTAGGGATGTAGCTCAGTGGTTGAGTGTCCCTGAATTCAATGCCCAGTACCCCATTCCCCCAAAAGAAAAATGTGATTTTTAAAATAAGTGCATAATATTTTATTTTGTGAATATACCATTATTTATTTAACAATGAGATTTCTTTCTGTCTCTAGTATGTAGGTCAGTTCTAATCTGTTTTTTTTTAAAGTGGGGACTTACAACATGACTTACAATGTTGTTTTAACTTACTACGTGTAAGTAGAGACCCACTCACCCACTCTTTTTTTTTTTTTATTAATTTGTTGTTGTTGTCGTAGATGGACAGCATGCCTTTATTTTATTTGGTTTTTTCATCTGATGCTGAGGATTGAACCTAGCGCCTCACACGCCTCACCCACTCATTTTTATTGTCGCCAAATTAAATGAAGTATAATGTGCCCTAGAGGAATGGAAAAGGCTTAGGAGATCCAAGAAAGTTAAAGTCTATCTTGGTGGCTTGCTTCAACAGCACATATACAAAAATTGGAACGATACAGAGAAGATAAGCATGGCCCCTGGGCAAGGATGACATGCAAATTCGTGAAGCAGTTCATATTTTAAAAACAAAAATTTTCTCTCATTGTTTTTAACCTTTGCCTAGATGATAACCATAACTATTTCCCCTTAATACCTCTGGTGTTAGATAAAATCTTTTCAACATATAACCTGAAGGAGCTTTGGCATCATTTTACAGATTTAAAAATGGGTGTGGGTTAGAGATAGAGAAATTAAGTCAGTGTCTTAAGTTATACATTTGATTTATGGCAGAATCAAGATTAGAATCTTGGACTCCTGCTACCAACCAATCTTTTTAAGAAGAGGACAAGAGTATCTCTAGTAACTCCCTTAACTGAAATAAAATAAGGATGACAAAAGAATAAAAAACTTGAGCTAGGTGGTTTTAAGACTCACCTTTAAATTTTCAGAAAGTTGTTGAATTTTTAAAGCACATCTATAAAATCAATGGCAAATATATAATTTCAGATGTTTTTATTATTTTCTTATAAAAATATATAATGCCATTTGTTGATAGCAAAGAGAAAGTATATTTTTAGTTTTAGAGAACTGTATTTTCTTTTTATATGTTTTTTTTAGTTGTTGATAGACCTTTATTTTATTCATTATTTATACATGATGCTGAGAATCGAACCCAGTGCCTCACACATGTCAGGCAAGGGCACTACCGCTGAGCCACAATCCCAGCCTTAGAGAACTGTGTTTTTAAGGGAGCTGTAAGTCTCCTCCCACCAAGAATTATGTAATAATAAAATAAGATCAAGAAGATTTAAGTATACTTTGGATTTGAGTTTGAATCAAATTTAAGTACACTTTGGATTTGGGTTTGAAATCAGATTAGCATGAGAGAAGGAAATTCATGAATTTTAGCTCATATCATAGAAATTTCAGATATTTTCATTGAAACAGGTATATGGTTACAATAGTTTAAAAGAATTAAAGTCTTACTAGGCAGCACTAAGTTATGCAAAGTAGGATAATTACATTTATATGTACCCAGTGGTTAGACTGGTTTATAAACTGAATAACCAAGAGAAACAGAGATGCATGTTGGTATACTTACATTTGCTCCCCCCCCCCCCCATGTAGTCCAACAGTCTATTTTTATACTTATTTTGCATTTCCATAGAAAATACCGTAAGTACATTGGGATGTAGAGGGAAAACTTCACAAATATTTTCTTATTTATTTAAAGCCCTTCTATGACTCTAGCTGAGTTCACATTGTTCATTATGACTTTGACCAAGACTCTGTTACTTATTCTGTAAACTTAAAATATAACCCCTATTTCTCCATTCCCTATCCTCTATTTTCTCAGACCTCAGCTTTTGTTTTGTTTCATTTTGATGTAATTCCTGATGTTTACCCTTCCTAGTGTTGCTTGTATACGTGCATATCTTCTTGCAGTATGCTCAGTCCCTACATATGTTTTTAAAGAAATGATGCCATTTTTCTAATACTTTGAAACCTGAAATGTAGACTATTATTTTTAAAGATACAGAATAAATCTTTATTTAGTAATACAGTGCTTTATTTATTGTTATACATCTTTTCATACAAGAGATACTTATAATTTGGTTTACTGAATTATAGTAAAACTAGGATTTCACTGTTATTTTATTGACTAAAAAATGCAAACCTAATTTAATCCTTTTGTTTAGCTTCATTAATTGATTATACCATGGCTAATAGTAGAGCTGTGGAATTAGACATGGGTTTGATTCAGTTCTACCTGAGCCTTAATTATTTGTTCTGTGATATTGGGATAATGCATCTCATGAGAATTAAATGAAATAATGTTACATGCTTAGTAAGTGCTTGTTGTAATTACTGAGAGTATTACTCTTGATCAGTAAAGCAATTTACACTTGAATCTGTTGAAAATTTTGCATAGTATTGGGAGTGGCAGTTTGTTTCTCTGTCACTCACAGGTCTTTTCTACGTATTTGGTTGCAAACTGTCTTAAGAGTTTATAGGTGTGTTTTAAATGTTACTTCCTAAAATACTGGGGTCAAGTACTCATAGGATCTTCTACTTTTTACCCTTCATTGAAACCAGCTTCTTATGCTGATGTACTTTTACTCTCTGAATGTGATAGGAGATATATAGTTGCCCTACCCACCCACTCTTACCACCATCCACAGTTGAACATTGCTTATTCAGCCACCCATGATCAACTGTAGGTGAAATTACTAAATGGTCCAGAAATAAAATAATTCATAAGTTTTAAATTGCACTCCATTCTGAGTGCCATCATGAAATCTTGTACCATCTTACTCTGTCCGCCCTGGGACAAGAATCATCCTATCATCGCTGCTGTATATACTGTCCACTTATTAGTCACTTCATAGCTGTCTGAATTATCATATCTATTATTATTGTATCACAGAGCGTTGAAGAAATAGCACAAAGGTAGTGATGCTGTAAGTTCAGACATGCTAAAAAGAAGAAGGTCATAAATTACTTCCTTTCAGTATCATCTTACATTATCACAAAAAGAAGAATGTAGTACAGTAAGGTATTTTGAGATAGAGTCCACATTCACATGGCTTTTATTATAGTATATTGTTTATTCTATTTTATTATTATTCTTAATCTTGTACTGTGCTTGATTCATATATTAAACTTTATCATTGGTTTGCATGTTTAAGTTAAAACATGGGATTTGGTACTATCCATGGTTTCAGGCATCTACTGGGGTTCTTGTAACGTATACCTCATGGATAAGAGAGCACAACTTTTTTGTTCTTTCTTTAGCTTTTGAGAAGAGATTAGAGAAATTGAATTCTTTCAATTTGGAGAAAAATCAGGGCTTGCCTATACTTACTGACTTTCTGGGGTGGTATAAAACTGTAGTAAGTCTTAGATACAAAATAATGTGAGTTTTAAAAATATCTTTAAATATTTTATCTCATTAGTTAAATGATCTAATATAGAAGTGATTTGGAGTAGAGGAAGGTAGATAATAGGGAAGCATGCAAGCAGATAATTTATTATCTCCTTAAACTCTTTCTGTTAATGCTGTGTTCCAATGAGTGCTTCATAGTGTTACTTCGTAAATTTAGGTGGAAGAGCTGGATTATCATTTCATTGTGCAGTTTTTATTTTCATATAACTTCTTAATGACTTCTGTTTGTTATGTATCTTTTTGTAGGTTTTTAGTTTTTTTCTTTTTCTGATAATTTACTGCCATATTATGTATTGTTATGGACAGCGTTCTAGCCTTTAATGGATTAAATACAATTCCTGTAAGCAGTGATGCAGTTCATTTAAAAGTAACCAGAGCTGGGTGTGCTGGTGCATCCCTGTAATTGCAGCTATTGAGAAGGCTGAGGCAGGAAGATCACAAATTCCAGGCCAGCCTGAGCAACTTAGCAAGACCCTGCCTTAAAAATAAATAATAAAATTGCTAGGGATATAGTTTAATAGAGTGCCACTGAATTCAGTACCCCAGTATTGCATCCCCCCTCCCAATAAAAAAGATCCAGTCATTTAAAAATAACCAAGGTAATGCTTTATACTCAAGGGAATACAAAAGACTAGCTATTTGAGAGAACAGTTTGTGAAATGGTTGATAATAGTATTAAAATTAGCATGTGTGAGACCCTGAGTTCAATCCCCAGTACTGCCAAGAGAAAAAAAGAAAATGGGAGAAAATATTTGCAAGTTATCCATCTGGATAATCTGTCTAGTATCCAAAATATATCAAGCACTGTTACAACTCAGCAACAAAAGGCAATTCAATTAGACATTTTTCTAACTTATGTAGAAATGGCCAAGAAACACAGGTGCCCAACATCATTAGTCATAAAGGAAATGTAAATCAAAACCACTTCAGTCACTGAGGTGAGTTTTTTTTTTTTTTTTTTAAGTAACTATACCATTTTCTTAATGCTATAGTTACTGTGGACAATAGTTTGGCAGCCATCCTCAACAGATTAAATACAGAATTACTTTGTGACCCAGCAACTCCACACCTGAATATATATTCAAAAGAATTGAAAATGTGTTCATATAAAACTTGGTCTCATATGAATGGTCATAGCAGTACCATGAACAGTAGCTAATATGTGGAAACAATCCAAATGTTCATCAGCTGGTAAATGTGTAAACAAATGTAGTATATTCATATAGTAGAATATTATTCAAACATAAGTCATGAAATACAGATACAAACTACATCCTGAAAACAATATGCTAAGTAAAGGAAGCCAGACACCAAAGGCCACATATTGTATGATTCCATCTATATGAAATATGTAGAATAGGCAAATGCATAGAGAGACAGAAAGTATAGAGAGAAAGATTGGCAGAAGCAGGAATAAGGAGTATTTGCCTAAAGGATATGGAATTTCCTTTGGAGGTAGTGAAAAAGTTCTGGAACTAGATAATAGTGGTAGGGGGTACATTGTGAATGTACTGAATATTACTAATGGTACAATTTTATGTGTATTATGCCACAATAAAAATAGTTTGTTAACAGTGGGTTGGAGGTATAATGAAATGAGTAAAGAAAGGCGGTCAGCACTAGAAGCAAGATTAGGGCAGCAAGTAGAATCCAGTATAATTTGATTAACTAAGAAATAAGTTGGAGACAAAGAAGGTAAATCTTAACAGAAGGGGGAAAAACGAGACATCATGCCCTACAGTCATCTCTGAAGATCTTTTCCTTAAAACATATAATCTATGCAAACTAACTTTTCCAAATGTAGTTATAGTGGGAAAATAAATTTCTTGGTTATAATTTATGTAAGGTATATAATTTTTTATATCATGTATATGTTTTATTTACAGAGGTAAAGAACTCAGAACAACAGTATAATAAAATAGTAATTCCCAATGAAGAAAGTGTAGTAATCTATTATAAGATTAGACAGCAACTTGCCAAACTGGGTAAAGAAATTGAAGATTATATTCATAAACCAAAATACTGCTTACCATTTCTACAGCCAGGCCGTTTGGTAAAGGTATGTCTTTGTTCCTTCATAAAATATTTGACTATTTGAATATTTAAAAATATTCTGGATACTGTAATATTTTCTTTATCTTGATAAAATGCTTCTTGCTACAATGGTTTCTCTATTATATTATTTAACTATTTCACATTGCTCAGGTAAAGGCCTTTTTTTAAACTTTATTTATTTTAATTAGGTATATATGACAGCAGAATGCATTTTGATTCATCATCCACAATTGCAGCACAACTTTACATTTCTGTGTACACAATGTAGCAGTGTATGAGACATATATGACCATATGTGCAGTCACATGTGTCTCTAGGGTAATAATGTCCGTCTGATTCCACCATCTTTCTAGGTGAAGGCCTTTTAATCACCACCAGTTTTCATTGTGGGGAATATAATTTGAAAAAGTCTTGGGGTTGAATATAAATTATTTTCAGTTATGAAATATCTTTAAAATGAGGCCATTTTAATTACTAGAAAAATTTATTAGATATAAAAAGACTTGAAATACACTGACATTTTTAGCATTTGTTTGCCAACTGATACATTTCCTGTTATTGCTATTCTAGGGTCTATGAAATTTGCCATTGACTTTTTTCCCCCCTGTAGTATTAATGTCTTGTTCCTGAAATTTAGCAGTGATTTTTAACAAATATTAGGAAATTCAAGTTTTATTAGCCTATAATATAAGACCTGGAAGGCTACAATTGTCTTTTTTGGATGTAAACATTATTATTTTTTGCTGTCTTTCAGGTAAAGAATGAAGGAGATGATTTTGGCTGGGGTGTAGTGGTGAATTTCTCAAAAAAGTCAAATGTTAAGGTAAACCAATTTCCTTTGAGTAAAATTTCATATATATTGTTATTGAAATGTTTTTTAAGACTCATGAAGATTATCTAAATATAAATTTACCCTAAGAGGAGAAGTAATAAACTCTTACCTTAAGGAATTAATGTTTTGAATAATTTAAATTTTATACTTCATAGTTAATTTTAAAGCATTTCATCACATCGGAAGGAAACTTTTTTATCCCTCACTTTTCCTCAGCCCCATACAACTGTTTGTCTGTTTTCTATCTGCATAGATTTGTCTATTCTGGAAGTATCATGAAATAAATTTTATATAATATGTAGCCTTGTGATAAGCCTTTTTGACAGTATAATGGTTTCAAGGCTTATCAGTATTTCATTCTGTTTTATGGCTAGATAATATTCCAGTATATAAGGATATACCTTATTTTGTTATCCATTTATCCGTCCACTGACATTTAGGTTGTTTATACCTCTTGGCTGTTATGAATAATACTCATGTAAACATTTGTTTACAGGTTTTTAGTGAACATAGGTTTTAATTTCTCTTGTGTATATACCTAGGAGTGGAATTACTGGGTTCTTTGGAAACTGTATGGGGTAAGTGGTTGAGGAACTGCCAGATTGTTTTCTAAAGTAGCTGTACCATTTTACATTCTCATCAGCAGTGTATGATGGTTTAGATTTCTCAGCAGTCTTACTACACTTACTATGTGACTTTTTAAATTCTGTTTGGTATGTAATGGTATTTTATTATGGTTTTGATTTTATATTTTCCTGATAACTAATGATGTCCGGGAAATTTTCAGCTTCTTATTGGTCATTTGTTTATACTTTGGAGAAAAAATGCTTCGGATCCTTTTTCTGTTTTCAAGTTAGAGTTATGTGCCATTTTATTGAGTTATATGAGTTCTTTATGTATAGACTATTTATAATCTTATCAGGTGCATGATTTCTTTTTTTGTTAGAGTATCAAGTAATTTTATTTTAAAAACTTTATTGATTGCTCACTTTTCTAAAACATGTACTGAGAACACAACAAACTCATCCAAGAGTCACTAATCTTTGGAGGACAGAATGAAGCCCTATACATGGAACCCACAAATGTTTTTCCTATGCTTAATGTCTTAGCTTTTGCGTTCACTCCAGGCTTCCATGTTTTGTCACCTCTGAAAAGGGGAAGGACAGTGGTTAAAAGAATTATGTACAAGAGGGTCACAACCAACTTTTAGCTTATCTGATACTAATGACTTGTATGTTCTAGTTTCTAACTTTGAGAAACAGTATTGGATAAGCACTGTCAAATACCTAATCCCTGCTTACATTTACTATTCTTATTCTTTCAGTCACCTTTGGAATTGGTTTTTCTTTTATTGCAGCTTCTGTTGATCCTGGAGCACAAACCCTGAAATTTATGTGTAGTGTCCATGTTGAAATAAAATGTTATTTCAGGCCCACCCTAGTGACTGTAGTGTTTATACTCTGTAGTGTGTATTGGGTATCATACCCTTGGTCATGCTGATCAAGTGGCAGTCCAATGCAAGGGGCACACAGGGACAACTTTTCCACTATCAGTCTTGTTCCCTGTTCTATGGTCCTTGGACATTGCTTCACAGTCAAGGTAAAAATTTTGAATTCACTGGCCCTTCCCTGCCAATTGAAATTATGCTCTTATAGAACAGGGATCTACTTCCTTGCCATTAATTCAGTGGAGTTTTCAAAAGATGTCAGGAATATTCTTTGGACACGTCCTGGGATGGGGCTGGAGGGTCCTGGCTTTCACTCTAAGGAGAGGGTTCCAGCATAGCTGATTTTTTTTTGGGTCATCAGAAACTCAGGAATTGCTTTTTAGATTGTGGTCTGAATATCTAGTTTAGTTTTGAATCTACCCCCTGAGAAGAAATCCTGTCTATGATTGCCAGGCTGTCCCAGCAGAAGCTGTCAAACAGGTCCTCACTCTTGAGCTGCTCCATGATGTTGCTGGCAGGGTTAGGGGTATAAGGCAGGGCTGGTGGTGCCCCCACATTGCCCACCAGTCCTTTACCCTGTTCCTGCAAGGGAAACAATCTGGCTTCTGCCCTGGGACTGAGAGCCCCACTGAGTTTATGGTGGCAGAGGTAACAGCAGAAGAAGCCACCCACATGTGCATAGTTCCAAACATTGTCTGTTTTGTGGGTTGTCTTCACTCTCTTGATAGAGCTCTTTACAGTATAAAAGTTTTTAATTTAATGGAATCTAGTTTCACTTCTTTTCTTTTGTTGCTAATGTTTTTGGTGTTATCGAGACCACTACCAATATCAAGGTCTTGAAGATGTACCCATTTTCTTCTAAGTATTTTATAGTTTTAACTCTAACATTTAGGTCTTTGATCCTTTTTGAATTAATTTTTATGTATGTTGTGTGATAAGGGTGCAAATTTATTCTTCTCCTAGCACCATAGGTGAAAGTTCTTCCTCATTTGAATCATTTTGGCACCCTTAACAAAACTCTGTTTATGGTAGACTCATGGGTTTATTTTTGGACATGCAATTCTTTCCCATTGATCTGGATGTCCAGTTCTCAAGCCAGCACTTTTTCTACTCTTTCAGAATTGTTTTATTGCCATCTTAAAAATATTAAACCTTCTAATTCATGAACACAGCATATTTTTCTGTTTATTTAATTCTTAAGTTTCTTTTTTTTAATATTTTATTAATTGTTGATGGACCTTTATTTATTTATATGTGGTGCTGAGAATCGAACCTAGTGCCTCACACATGTTAGGCAAGCACTCTGCCACTGAGCTACAGCCCCAGCCCGGTCTTAAGTTTCTTTCAGCAATATTTTATTTCCCAAGTATAGGTTTTATACTTCTTTTCCTTAATTTATTCCTAAATATTGTAATCTTTTGATGCTACTATAAATGAAATTACCTTCTTCATTAAAGGTGTATAGAAACTTCTTCATATAGAAACCCAGTTGTATTTTATATATTGATCTTATATCCTGCAGGACTTATTTATTCTAATATTTTAGTGGAATATTTAGGATTTCCTATATATTGAATCATGTTGCCTACATGATTGACTTCTTCCTTTTCAATCTGGATGCCTTTTCAATCTGGATGCCTTTTTAATCTGGATGCCTTTTATTACATCTTCTTGCCTAATTCCCCTAATTAGACATTTTAGCAAAATGTTAATAGAAGTGATATCCTAATGTTAGGGGGAAAATGTTAAATGTGATGTTGCTCTTGTTTTTTTGTAGGGGCCTTTCATCAAATTCAGCAAGTTCCCTTATTTTCTGGCTTGTTGGGTGTTGCTATCACGAAAGAGTGTTGAATTTTGTCCATTATAGCTTATGTGCCTATTAAGATGATCATGTGGATTTTTTTATTCTGTTTTCTATTCTGATGTGACATATTACTTTAATTGATTTTCAGGTGTTAAACCCACTTTGGATTCCTGTAATAAATCCCGCTTTGTTGTGCATGTTATTTATTTTGTATATTGCAGGGTCCAGTTTGCAAGTTTGTTTTTGAGAATTGCTCCTAAGAGATACGGGCCTTGGGCTGAGGGTGTAACTTAGTAGTACAGTGCTTAACTAACATATGTTAAGCCCTGGGTTCAATCACCAGCTCCACGAAAAAGGAAAAGAAAAATGAGATACTGGTCTGAAGCTTTCTTGTGGTGTCTGTCTTATCAATGAGGTAATGTCAACGTCATTAAATGAGTTTAGGAAGTGTTTCTCTCCTTCTATAAATGTTTTAGAAGAATTTTTGAAGAATTGATATTTAATCTTTAAATATTTAATTGAATTTGGCAGTGAAGCCACCTAGCCCTAGACTAGTTCTTTGTGGGTATATGTTTCCTGGATATGACATATTCAGATTATCCGTAACATTATTCAGTAACATTCAGAAGTTTGTATCTTGTTAGGAATTTAGTCTTTTTCATCTTGATTATGTAATTTATTCATATACAATTAAAATATTGCTTTATAATCCATTTTATTTCTGTACGGTTGTTCATAATATCTCCACTTTCACTTCTGATTCTAATAATTTCAGTCCTCTCTTTGAGCAAAGGTTTTCAGTTTATCTCTAGGTATTTTCTAATTTCCCTCTTAATATATTCTTTGACATCTTGATTAGTTAGGAGTGTGTAAATTTCCATATATTAGTGAATTCTCCAAATTTTTTTTTAAATTTCTTTCCATTTTTTCAAGAACATACTTGGCATTGTTTCATTCATTTTGAATGGATACAGGTTCGTTTAATGATCCAACATAATGTTCTATCCTTCAGGTTTTCTGTGTGTAGTTGAGTAGAATGGATATTCTGCTATGTGGGGTGGGATATTATAGAAATGTCTCTTAAGTCTAGTTAGTTTAGGGTGTTGTTCATGTTTGATATAGTATAGACATTTGAACGGTTAACTTTTGCATGATATATCTTTTCCTCTCTTTTATTTTCTGTCGTTTTCATATCAGTAAATTTGATGTGTTCTCTGCTCCTATATACAGAATATAGTGTGATCTTGTGTTTTTATCAAACCTAAAAGTCTATTTTGGGGGGTTGTTTAACCCATTCACATTTAAAAAGGAATAGTTGAGTTTATATCTGTCATTTTGTGTTTTATTTTCTGAGTCTCATGTCTTATTTCTTCTATTTTTCCTTTTTTGCATTAAATGAATATTTTGCATTGTAGCAGTCTAATTTCTTTTCACAATATATTTCCTAGTGATTGCTAGATTTTTCCATATACATTGTAAATTACATCAATAGGCCTTAGGTTTGTACCAAGTTATTTCCAGTGAGATATAGAAACATGATTTCTATTTATCTCTACCTCATTTTCCCATCTCTTTACCTGCTTAGATTCTCCTCCTCCTCCTCCTCCTCCCCCTCCCTCCCTCCTGTTTCTTTCTTTTTTCTTTTTTTTTTTTTTTTTTTTTTTGCAGTGATAGGGATCAGACCCAGAGACTTATGTATTTTAGGCAAGAATTTTACCATTTTTCCTCTTTTTATAGTAT